GTCAGTAGGTGCGGTGGAGATAATCACAGTGTCCGGCTCACTAAGGGACGTCAATTGATAACAAGGTCACGTGATATACAGCTGATAACACTGGCTCTAGCACACAGTGGTCAATAAACTCCTACACTGTACTGTAATGTCCACTACATTGCTACACTGTTGGACCAAGTGTCAGTAGGTGCGGTGGAGATAATCACAGTGTCCGGCTCACTAAGGGACGTCAATTGATAACAAGGTCACGTGATATACAGCTGATAACACTGGCTCTAGCACACAGTGGTCAATAAACTCCTACACTGTACTGTAATGTCCACTACATTGCTACACTGTTGGACCAAGTGTCAGTAGGTGCGGTGGAGATAATCACAGTGTCCGGCTCACTAAGGGACGTCAATTGATAACAAGGTCACGTGATATACAGCTGATAACACTGGCTCTAGCACACAGTGGTCAATAAACTCCTACACTATACTGATCTCCATTTTTGTATGATACCGCGTGTTATGTTTTTGATATACTCAAGCAGTCAAAATAACTCTTTAGTAGATGAATGCAGAATTATCAATTAAAATCGAGAAAATTACAAATAGTACGGAAAAATGAACAAGTGATGGAAAATCACTTTTGGCAGCACAGCACAGCAGAAACCTGCTTTTTTAACTATTTAATAATATTTTATAACTAATCTGAATACCATAAAATATAAATTTCGGTGTTAATCGAATCGTAAACATGTGTTGTTAACATATTTTAAACTTTTCTTTATTTGCCTACATAACAATGGAAGATAAAACACAAACGATACCAACAAACGTTTCTGCCTGTACCAAGCTACGTCTGTTGGCATCTCATCATGAAAGTTAGAAGCCCACTTAAGCTAAACTATACAAAACAGTTGCCAATCTCAGTAAAATAATGAGGTGAGAGACATGAAAGAAGTTGGCAAGACGCTTTGTTTGGCTCAAAGTAGCGAATGTTGCTTAATATCACCGGTCAATAGAGATATCTAGAACCTAATGGAAAGTTAACTAAACAAGAATTTCCTTCAACAGGTCAGTTTTGTTCCCTATAGGTTATATATAACATTAAATTTAGGTTAAACCAGTACTTCCTGTTACAGTACAGGGAGGGTAATAAAATGTTTTTGGTAAAAGGTGCATGGCTTAGTTGGTATAAAATAAAACAAAATTGCCAAGTTTGATAAAAATATATCTAAAAACAAGCAAAGTAAAACAGTTCACTCAGTCTCCTTAATAATAACACGAAAGTTTTAAATTTAAAGGTTTTCGAACTTTTCTTTATAACTATTTTATCATCCAATGACGCCTCAATATGCTAAATCATGGGTTTTAAGCACTACTTAAGACTTGGAAAGAAATTTGATGTTTTGAGGGTAAAATATGGGAAACCCCAATTTTTACCTCATAACCCCCCTCAAATTAATCCCGTCCCCTTAGTCCGATCATGCTGATGGTTGGCGAACTCGTCCGAATAAACGTTTTATACGGGGGTTTATTCATAAGGTTGAACTGATTCTTTTCAAAATCGAGCTATTTTCAATTGAGTTATCCTTCTATCAGAGACACACAAATATCATTAAAACATGGGAGAAATTATTAATCATTCACATAATGTGCAAAAAATCAAATCCTACGCAGTAATGAAACATTTAACACTATTTTCCACAAACGATGTCCAAATACTGTACTAATCGTCACGACGTTCTACAACGACGACTAAAGATCCTTCTACAGTCCAGGATCGACGCAATTCCCACTCACATTGCGTGATGTCTGGTCAGTCACATAATCAGTTCTCTGAAAAGATAACAAACTTTCCGAGTCGATGATTCTTACGACAAACTTCCACTGTCACGGAACACGCTACTACACTACTACAGTCGAAATATGTTTACTTAGAGTCTAGCGACTGAAAACATTGATTATGGATAGAGCCTGCTGAATAAAGTTAACGTCTACAAATCAAATGTTTAAGTCAGGACTCAGATGTAGTAGGTAGCAGCACACACTCTGTCTAAAGCGAAAATCCAGTAATTTAAATATATCCAAGGCTGACAAATATGAGCATAAATTAAGGGGAGGTACACTTTATATAAATAATATTAGTTTCGAAAAAGAATCACAACAAACATACTACAAGTAACAGATGCAAAAAATCACAATGTGAATTTCCCATATAGGGAATAAACTATTTATTTGTTTAGTGAGCTTTAGATGAAATTATTTGACACAAAAAAACCTAATGTAAGGAGGTCGTAGCCTACAATAGAATAAGTATAACAACTGTGAAACAATTATTCAAGAGGGTCGGTATTTTGGGCTTGCTGTTACAAGGTGCTCCCCCCTTAAAAATTTAACACAAAAAATGTTTATTACAAAAGCCTAACATAGAATAAATATATTTTCAAAATTCGAGTGAATTTTTCTATTATGAAGTAGCAAAGCAATCGCCATAGCCCGCAATAAACAATCAACTACTCATCACAGAAACGTACTACTGTAGTACGTTTTCTGTGCTACTCATAAATAAACAATGGTAAAACCACAGACAACAGATGACTATGGTAAAACTATAGAATAAATAAACACCGGAAAATAAATAAATAAACACCTGGCTGGTATTTATTTATTCTATGGTAAAACTATGCCCGGGACGGTTGTACCTTTGGCAATATAAGCCCCAGGATCTAGAAACAACGTTATTATTTTCAACACAAGATTTATTGCCTTTTGATACAAAGGAAAATACATGTTAACACTATTCGTGCGGTCGACATGTTTGAACATAAAAGTTGCATTTATTTCAATGTTAAGCAATTGCGGGAATTCCCGTCATCAGCACCCAACGTGTTAAGCATATGACAGGAGAATGAAAATCACACCTTAAAAAATAATATGTGACTCTTTTAACCCAAGGTGCGTGTTTGCCAATGTGAGAGTTTACACACAATGTCAACTAGTTGAATTTTAAGGCCGCATGAGTTGACAAGGCACTTTTGATGGTGTTGGTAAACAAAGATGGGGGCCAAAAATGAGTCGTGCTGACTCACGTCTATCGCAGCATCTTAATGTCAAAGATAACGAACGTTCTATTTCAGTCCGAGACATGTGTGAGACTGTGTAACGGGGACATCACGTCTGGTGTAAATATAAAGAAAACTGATGCTGAAGAATAAATTGAAAGAAATAAAAACAAGCCAACGGGCGTAGCCCAAGGGAAATATGAAAATTAAATGATAATATTGCATTGTCATCCATTTGTGAGCTATGTTTCAAGTCTCTAGCTCATCGGAAAGTTAGTTTAAAATTGGTTGCAAAATTTGTACCAGACAAGAAAGCGAGCTAATAAAAGTGTTTTAACACCTCGTTAGTTCCAGAGACTACAGATAATTTTGTAATTAGATAGAAAATCCATTTTACAATAAGTGTACTTTGTATAGAAAAATAAAGAGAAAAACAACAATGGACATAAGCAATACCAGAGACTCCCTCCCTACAAACTTGGAAGAGAGCAAACAACTGCAAGTAGATGAGGGAACTGAATTGTGTCTTTTGATAGGGAATGTTTTTAAACTAGTGACGAGGTGGTGAGATCCCTAGGCTAGACATGTATGAAAGAAAATTTTTTCTTTCATACATTTTTATTTATCTCTATCATCTATTCGATGAAAAAATTAAATCCCCGTCCTATGATATAAACATTTCAAGCGATAAAAATGAAATAAACCATCCTTGTTGTGATGCAAACCTAGTTTAAGATTCAGATTGCTACTTTTTGTACTGGTTTGACATAAATAGTCATAGGCGTAGCACTTGAAAATATACAAATTTGGAATTGGAAATGATTATAATCTACTGTTGGCTAGAGTAAATGAAAAATACACAAAGTTACACGCTCACACACAATTCCCACAGTAAAATAAACACATAATATAAAACCGCTCTTAAATAGTAACACACAAGCTTTAATAAATAAATGAATGCTTAGACAGAATCAGAATATTTCTATTGCTAGTACAAAAATGTACAGGGAGCAAAAGTCACTAAACCCTAAAACTAAACAAGTAAAATCAGATTCATTAAAATAACGAAGAAACACTGTAAAATACCTTATTAAACCAAACAAATTTTTTAAAATCATTTTCGCCCTTGATTGAGGAACATTGTGGAATTTTTAAAAGAAGGACAAAGATTCAAAAATGAAAATTAATGGCAAGGTCAGCATGACAGTGCACAAATATTTACACTGTCAAGGTATTCACTATAAGATAAAAAAAATAAAATAAAATAGGAGGCCTAGAGCTACAATTTCACATTTTCGCCGAATAAAGGGACCTACAAATTTAGGGTTGTTTACATTATTTTATGAATAGTCAGAGTTTGGATTGAAAGAACTTTTCCCTAGCTATTTTTACAGAATTCTAGCAGCATACGTTTTAGTATAGTTCAGTTCAGGTAGGTATAGGCCTATTCAGTGTAGAGTTTAGCTAATTTAAATTAATTCATTTTAAAATTAATTTTAGGGTCCCTACAAATTATTTATAAAATACCATTTTTTTCAATTACGCAATCTGTTTCCATCCTGGTTGTTGATGCGGTAGTAATATTTATTTTAAATTATTTAACTAAGCTATACTGGTGTTTCATACTGATAGAATTAGTAATTTTTCAACACATTTTTTACACGTTTATACACTCTATATGCATTTTATGATCTTCAATTATTAACACTTAAGCTATACTGCAATACAACCAAAATATTATGCAGCTCTAAACATAGTTTTCATCATATTGATTATTTTAGAAGGAGACGCCGATTTAATACAAATTCATTTAATTTAGTCAACAATTAAAGATACTGTCTACTCTAAATTTTGTGATTCCACTTATTAGATAATCATTAAACCAAATCTAAGTCATCAACGGATTAGATAAATAACCAATAGGTAAATTACAACCATAAATACAATCAAAACTAACCTCAACATGTCGCGAGTGTAGCAGCAGGGAGCGAGAAGTCACACTCAGCGCTGGTCGACGGCTAGCAGACGACTAACTCAAGACGACAGGTGCAGGTGGACAGCAATCAGCTGTTCAGCTGCACAGCTGGTCTGCGCGCGCTGGGAGCGAGACTACTAATTGCATAACTTTGCTCTGTTTCTGACTAATTCAACAATTATTGCTGATTCAAAACGAATTATTGAAATAAATACGTGGGAGCCGTGCGCAGATTGCAAACTTAGTATAGGTATATAATTATGAGGAGCTTTTTACAAAATGGATACGCACAAAAAAGGCTGGCGATAGAAAATAAAATTATTATGAAATGTTTAATAGGATTTGGATGGGTTTAATATGGTATACAAGAGTAAGCTGCAGAAAAAATGATAAAAAGGGAATTATTAGATGAATAACACTACTAATTAAAAATATTTTGTGATGTGGAAAGCGAAAAGGTACCTCTTGTCGGCAAAATTTTCAGTACAGCAGATATAAGTAATTATGGTAGGAAGTATCGAAATTCTGTGTTTTATCGATTGTTATACCTCATTTAACATAGAACTGGGCAGTATCGGTTAAAATACGGAATCGAAGATGTAAAAGGTCAAAATAAATTATTTTGTTAGCCTCTGGACGGTCTGAGGAAAAGTGCCTTTTGTCACTCAAGACTCAATATGTTTTCTCCATACCGACTAGAGGTAACATTTCTAATATTCATTTCATAAACAGTCTTTAGTCCAAAAAAATAGATTGTCCTGCACTCAAGTGAAAATTTAGAGAGCTACAACAAAGTTCAGATTACGAAGAGTAAAATATCTCGCAAATTTTGTGGTCCCAACAAGAGGTTACCTTTTTGTGTCATGATGAAATAACATATGGGGGAAAAAGGTGATTTTTACCACATGCGTTGATAAAACAAGTATTTAAAAATAGTTTTCTCAAAATAACCCTTTTCCTTAACAAAACTTCAAAATTCTATAACTTTAACAAAAAAAATCGTAGATCCATGGGACTTGCACTAATATATATACTCCGGTAATTAAGTCCAAAGACAAATAAATATTTTAAAAAATAATGTAGATAGAGCTACAATACTTGGTACAAAGTTACAAGGCATAAAACCCTATTTTAACTCATATTCAGTGATCCAATAACTGTTTAGGGGGACGGCCCACAAGGAGTCGGAAGAAAATCTTAAATGGAAGCATAGGTCAATATGCACATCAAATGAAAGGTCTTTTTTATTAGAATACAATGCCGCAAACCACACTTCAAAGGTTGATCGAGCGCAAAATGGTAGATGTTCAAAGATTTTAAAAATTAGCCAATTACTAGAATTAAAGAAAACTATTTTAAATCTTTAAACAACTGTTATTTTATACAAATTAACCTTTGAATTCATTCGACTAAAATTTCCTTTGCGCCTTGCTTTTGCAATCACCATTATAAGGCACAAGAGCAATCCCTGACTATCGCCGGTTTAAATTTAGAAAATGCATGCTTTTCACACCGACAGCTATATTTTGTGTAATCACGTGGTGGTAGGTAGCCTAAAATAAAAACTTAATTATACACCTATAAAAAAAATATAAAATAAAAAAAATATAAAATATAAAAAAAAATATAATTATACACCTAATGAAAAAAAACAACAACATTGTTTATCCACTTGCAAGTAAAATAAATATTCTATTTTTGTTTGATATTTTTATTATTTATCGTAAAGAACAAATTACTGTTTAAAATAATAGCGCAGCAACAAGTGCCGGGTAACTGCTATAGTTACAAACATAAATATTTTATCCCAAAAAAGCTACTGAGTTTTTTTTATCAACAGCTTTTTTTGTTTTTAAAATTGTTCTGTGTTATTCTTATGGGAAAAAATCAACCTTTGTGGTATGGGTAAGAATTTTTAAATTCAAGAAACCATATTGCAAAACTACAAATTGAGACGAAACATTAAAATTGGTCCACAAATAAAAGAGGAGTAGTGTTAACAAAAAATAATTGAAAGGTTAGGGGGTGGGCACTGAAGGGAATTACCTTCAAGCCTTTCTGATTATAAGCTTATTTAAAATGACACCTAAATTAAAAAAAAAATCTGTTTAGTAGGACAGACAGAAAAGGAATGCTACAGAGAAAGCCGTAATTGTAAGAAGTATAAAAGATTCTTTCCAGGTTCTTAACAAATTTACAATACAGAATACTGAAATGTTGACTTTAAGATTCATTTTAGCAAGCAGGATTGCAGTCCCTGACATTATCTTTCTGAACAAGATTTTTAACAGACTGTTTGATTGCCATCCAGAACGAGATAAAAAGACTGATTTGGACATTTACTTCACTCTAGAAACCATGAGAACAGTACCATCAGTTGTGTTTAGACTTCACTGCGCTTGGCAAACCTCTTCACCTTTTGTTATAGTCTGTTATATGAAAAAAAGTTGCTCTTGCTTTTACTCTTGTTTACTATTACTGGTTCTTGATAATTATTTTGTAGTTTACTATTGTTAACATTATAAAACTATGTCAACCTTTCTTGAATATTTATTTACTTGTTCCCATGTTTAGTTACATTTTTTTATATGGTCTTCTTCTTGTTAAGTTTGTTGTATTCTTGCAGAAGTACTTATTCATTCATGATTCATGTTCATTACTGTACTTAAATGAATTGTGTTTTGTTACCTGAAATGAGTTAAATAATGTTATTCATAATAAAATAAAGTTCATATTGCTAATAAAAAAAAAAATAAGAAACAAATTGTTAACATTAAACACACTGTAAAACTTACCTTAAAATTGCCTTCATGTAATCCATTAGGTCCTGGATATAGCACACATAATTTCATTTTACAACGTTCATTATAAAAATACCCAAGTACACAGCATAAGAATGGCAAATCTACAAAGGATGTGTTTAATCTATGATAATGTTTAAAAATAATAAGAAAACCCTCTGATAAGTCTGTATGATACCAATAAAAAAGGAAAACACCAATGGAACTTACTTGTTCAAGACCTGATAACATTCTATTATCACCAAGGATTTCAATTACTTGGGTCCACAAAGAGTTGTAATGAATATAATATTTACTTCTGTACTCGTACTGTGAGTCATTACTGAAAAATTCATCATCAGCACTTACCGTTAACTCAACAATTTCGATCAAACTTTTTAGCAATTGCACAATGTATTAAAATAAAGACAGTTCGGTATGGATCAAAACACACAAGAAATAGTTTACTTTAAATAATTTTTATTTGATATTACATACAATACAATAGTTTAAACTTATTATTTATCCCTCAAGAAAACTCAAGAACAACGAAAATGCTAAGCTAAGTAAAAAAATACTTGAGTTTACCAACTAGCAATTTATACACTACTATCAAAACCGAATGATAATTTCTACTTATCGTAATATTCGTTGAGCAATCACTAAAGTTCTATCTGTGTCTTTACTTCACGTCACTTAAATATCGAGTTAAAAATAACCTAAAATAAACTAGCTCTTAAAGTTGTTTGCAGAGAAAATGGATCAAAGGTTTCCTAATTTTTGACAAAAACACAAATTAATTTATACTTAATAGTCTTACGTTATTTGAGATATGTGGTGGTGTGACCAAATAGGGTAATCAATTGTGAAGAAAATTAATTTTGAACAAACTCCTAACTATATGACTTTTAGACTTTTATCTCTTAAGCCGCTATTAGCCGTGAGCAACTGGTGGCGCAAGGGGCCAATGTGTAAAGGGGTATGAAATCAAATGGTTTCTATGCCTCCTTAAATTATTAGATGAGCAAAACAAAGTCGCAAAATGTTTATAAGAAAACTCTGTTTGTGGGGTACAAAAGAATAAAAACATATTTGATTGAAGCTAGTTGTGAAATCTAGTACATGTCCACATTTTTAAAGACTTTATATATTTTTTGGAAGACTAAATGCATGAATAATTGTCCAACAAAAACAAAAAGTAATAATACAGATTTTATAAATAACACATCTTGCTTTAACCATTTAATTTTTTAAACTCACAAATTCTTTCAGTCGGTTGGGTAAGTAGAACAACTTAACTTATTTTTCACTGGCCTGGCTTGATCATTAAAACAAACAGTTGTTCTGGGCCTTAACACTTTCTTTGAATATTGTTTAAAGTATTTTAGTGAAACACACAAATACTCATCATGGGTAAAAACCGCATACAGCAGCATAACTAGATATTTTTACTGTGTCCTGCCTATGTCACTCTTAAGCAAGTTCACACACTTAAGTAAATCCAGACAATTTTACTGTTCAATCGAACAAAACCAATACCTGTCCTGAGAAACCCAACTTGAATTCTTTAGTTTGTTAAACAGAAGAAAAATTAATCTTTAAATAAACCAGAGAAAGCTAATTGACCAAAAATATAATCAGACAATCATTTTAGAGTAACAAAATATTTAATACTACCTTACAATAATATACTTCATGATAAGTATTCTAAGCACTCCACATTCATAGATATCAATAAGGACACTTCAAAAATTTAAAAGAAACTTTAAAATACCCCCCACAGCAAAACTGAAGAGCAATTTTTTCCTTGCATTAGAGTTTTTTTTTTTTTTTTTCTTCACCATAAAAGGAAATTTACAGTTAGAACACCCCTAAAACTTTCAAGTTCGCTGCAACGAGCATTGCAAAACAGTTTGTGGTTAAAATGTTCAAAGACAAGTCAAACACAGAAATATTAAAACAGAGCAATCCGAATAAATTAATGTATTCTGTATAAGCATAAGTAACTAAGAACAGACTTTGACTCTTACAAGATAACCAATAGGAAATTCACTTTGTTCTAGCTAGTAAATTAAAAAGCATTTTAAGTACCTACCTAAATTCACTTCAATTCAAGTAGAGTAAAATGACTAAAAAATATTTAAAACATAAAAGTTTAGATGGTTAAAATAAAAAATTTAAAAAGAAGCTAGCAAACATGTATTTTTTTCTGTAGTTAGATAAAAAAACACTTAAAAAGGAGGTAGAAAACATCTGTTGCATTGTATATAGTTATTGTTCATGAACATGTGGATTTGTATAAATTTCACTATATTATAAGATATATTGATTTTGGTTTTAGGTTTTGGTTAATTGCGGCTATTACAGACAACTAGCTCTGCCCGTGCTTTGGGGTGAATGCAGAAAAGAATGTGTTGTTTGTTTATATTCAACTAACAACATGTACACATGACGCAAAATATCTTGACACTTGACAAATTCCACTTCTGAAGTAAGATGTATTAAACAGCTGGGTAGTAAATTTTCTTCATAAAAAATACACTGGGACTTTGATGGCCTGCGGGGCAAAGCCCGAGGACATTTATCACAGGAATTGGTGAAAGGGGGCGTCTACACAAAAAAATACTTAATTTTGACACATCGTTTGTAAAAATCCATCCATTATTAACGGGGTAGTAGTGTTTTGTAGAAATCGCCTTCACTACAAGGATAATGATGATAAAATCCAAATCCTAAAACTTGAGTCTAAAATTTTAAATTCAAATTCATCACTCATAACAATAATGATCTGAGGAATTTTAGCGAATACGGTAACACTTGTGATTACCTCTAGCAATCATGGCAACATCACAAGTTTCTATATTGCGGACGCGTCAGTGTCAATTTCCCCTGATCAAGTTTGGCCATAATCGAGGTCAAATCCAAGATCATCAACCGCATGATCTTGCCTTATACTTTTTTTAGATGACGGTAAATAAGCGATTCTATCAAATTAAAAAAAACCAGTATGAAAGTACCCATATTCAAACAAACGGAACAAAGCAGCAAACAACTTAAGAGCCAAAATATTTGACAGACAACGCTGCAATATATCAGCACCATGGAGGATTAGCCAAATAAAATCCTAACTATTTCCAACGCAGAAACTATATTTTAGTTGTGAAATGTCTCTACAAGAAAATCTGTTATAGCTATAGTAGTAATAAATAAAGATAATAAACTATAATAACTTATATAATATTTATGAAGTAAAGTTATCAATATCACAATATAATATAGCGAGTTTAAATAACAAACTGTACAGAGCGTTTATCTAACAAAGCACTAAATGTTTCACAATCACAGGAACTCCCACATAGTTTACTCAAGACTATTTCAATTTGAAATGTTCTGAAAAAACAAAACCAATATTATTAAACAAAATAAATTATTTGTGAAATAAACTGCAATGTCTGATATGTTAAGTTTTTGATATGTGGTCAAGAATGTATTTACACAAAACAAAAATTGTTAGCATGAAGAATTTTGTGTTTGTGTATTCTTGATAGCATGGGAACTGCTGTTTAAATGAACAGAATTAAATGGAAAAATAATTTTACAAAATGTGACTTTAGTGGGTACAAAACAAAAATGCTACTCAAACAATTTTTTAATCATGGGCAAAATGGTATAATTATGACTATCCCTATAATTTATGCCAATACAGGCCTAATCTTATTCCTTCAACCGTCTTTATCTAAAATCACAAATTTTGAAGAATCGATATGAAATAAGGTACATAAACAGTTTTTTTTTATATGACAACATAAAAATTTAAGATGTAAATTGTAATATGTAAATTGTTACAGCAACCTTGAAGCTTTTACTCAGTTAAAATAAAAAGCCTTAAATTTTGAACACACACACTTATAAATAAAACAACAATTTTACAATAGATTCCCCCTCGCTCTGACAAATTGGGATCGCCATCTTAACCAAGCAAAAAAGTCCAAAACCATCAGACGATACTACAAAAATCAATGTTGGGACTTTAGAACCACAAATTATGCACGGAAAATCAGTTATCTGATTTCGGATCCCAAATCGTCAAAATAAAATTGAATAGTCTCGATGGTCAAGTAATTTAAGTGTAAAGGTTGTAGACACAATTATCCCAAAGGACACTGCTTCTGGACCCAGAAAGTATTCATCATTGGGGTATAAATTAATGATGCTATCTAACAAAATATATATGTTAGCTAGTAACAAGACCAGGGTTTGAACCATTCAAGGTTGGTTGCAAGGACAAAAAAGGTTTAAAAATGCTGATGTAAACACAAACACAATTCTGTTTCTAAAATCAATCAATGGTGAATGTAATTATTTCATACAGCAGATTTAAAATATCAAACGTTCTTTGTCAAATATTCTATTTCTTGCAAATCTTAAAACACATTGAATTGAACACATTGAAGGTAAAAAAACTGGATGTACTAAAAAAAAAAGGTTTGGACCAACCGTTGTTTGTTTACGTGACTAAACGAAGCAGTTTGTGTTAGTAAATAATACACAGTCGGTTATCTTATCCGAACCAAATTGTCCTGTCCAAGAGGAAATCTACTGTACTACTTAATCAATCCCTAAGTGAAATAAATAAACCCTTAGAAAAGTGCCTTAATCCCTAAGCCTATTCAACCCTGAGAAAAGTGAGTAGCTTTTTGATGTAAACTGGACCCAGTTGTTCTTGATCATTGAGCGAAAATCTAGATCCTAACTAAAAAACAGCTGAGTCAAAAACAAAACTCAGCTGATCATCTCACTCCACTCTACACCCTTCGTTTATATTCAGCTTGTACGTGCCAAAGGTTGTGTCTCGCTCTTAAATAATTGATAGTTGTTGATAAAAGAAAAAGAAAAATTCAAAAGACAAAAGCCCAAAATAGTCTTGAGTAAACCGTAAATTACTGCTTACTAGTAGAAGGGCTGGGCGAGTCTGGAGAACTGGGCGATGGAGCTTTGCGTTTCATCAACTGCAGGAATCGGTCCATGGCCTCAGAGTTAGGCTCTACAGGCATAGAAGACAACATCGACATCCCGGGGCCCACGCGGTAACCTCGACCCACATTGGGATTTGTCCTCGAGGTGCTCGGTTTGTGTTCTGGCTTCATCAACGTTTTCTTTTTCCGCTGAGCACTTGCACATGCGTCACTTTGTTCACTCGTGTTGGCACTAGTGGCACTGTTCATTGCTGGTGGGTCGACACTATTCACTGCTACAGGGGTGGTAACACTGGTTCCACAAGCCTCCTCCTTGCACTGTGAGTCTTGCTCCATCATGTCCTGTAATGTTGAATAGTGAGTATAAGAAAATTATGAGGTTAATGCAAAATAATACGTTGAGAGAGATTACGAATAAAGGCATCTTAAATAAAATAGGAATAAGTTGAAACTAGATCAACGAAAACACTGAAGATTGAAGTGGTCTGAGAAAATAAAAACACTAAAATTGTATCTCAGACAAAGTATGAACATGTGAAATGACAAAGGATGAAAGGTTGCAGAGTGCTTGAGATCAAGGCCAACAGTGTTATAACCTTAAAATGTGCTTTAATTGTGTTATTACCGTGTGTTATTCTCATCACTTTAAATATTGAAAAATTGTCTTCTTTATAATGGGAATTTTGGTTATCTGAAACCATCTCCATATCTCCACATCCCCTTTACGCAAGGTTCTACTGTAGCTGACCGTTCCTAAAATCGTGAACTCTACTTTACACAAATTCTCGCCAGTGGCTATTTAAAATTATAAATTGAACAGTTCCTCATTGTGAGATATGTTTTATTTACAAACCCACATTTTTTAAAAATGATTTTCAAAGCATTTATACCCAATTTTCCCTCAGAATTTACATATATAGAATTATACAAAACCGTTATACCCACTTACAGCTAAAAAGCCTTAATACAAATTTGAATTTTGAAAAACAACTAAATTTACTGCAGTACGTAGAGGCCTATATAACAATAATAAGGTTTTATATTTTCTGTAAAAAAATCTGTTGTAATACAAACTTACAAATTAGAAAACTTAACAGATATTTTCAGTTTAAAATGCTGACTCTAATGACATAATAGGAACCTGAATTAAATTGATTTTAGTAAAACATCTTTTGGGCAAAATGAAATAAGTTATAGCAAATTGAAAGTGCTCGTAATAATATTATATCTGGATTTAGAATGACATATAAATTACATTTTTGCTTAAAGACCGTTACTTACGACAGGAGAATCAACTCGGGGGGCCGGTGGTAATTCCTTCACCTGCTCCAAAATCTGTTGGACAATGTTTTGATGCAGGCGTTCCGAACCAAATTCACCTGAACAGAATAATTTGTCAAATTCAAATAGAAAATGTTAACGCAACTGTCATCTGCTCTTAAAACAGATTAAATACTTTTTCTGACAAGGATAATTGGTAGCTTAAATTGCTTGTCTAGTCACGTAGTAATCAAAATCTTGCTTCATCTTGTGTATTGCCTTCCGGATTACTTCATGAATGTATACAAAAGGTTAAGTTACCTTGATTCTGTCCAAGTAATCCTTAAGTCGTCATTAGTGCGACCGGTTTTGATGTCTATGGCATCATTGTCAAGCTGAACGTAAAAATCGCTCCTAGGAGGTCGTCATAAGTCTTGAAAAACACGTAATACATAACACGTACACAAACAAAAAACGATAAAATGCATGGCCACACAACTAATTTACAACACGGCGGCGGTTGGACAGAATCACTTGGACAGAATCAAGGTAACTTAACCTTTTGTATACAAAATCTTGCCTATTTGATTTTGGGAAAAGCTTTTTAAGCCCATGAAGCCTGTGAAGGCTGATGCGGTCGAACCGCGTCGAAGTGTCCCGAGTGGCCGACAGTGGCATGATAACCCAGTTGACTAAGAAGTTGCACTGGAGAGTGTAACATAGAGGTATTTCAACATGTGCGGATAAAAATGCCATATGTGTGCAATCTATATTAAGCTTATGATTGTGAGACTTGGCTGGTGGAGGTGTCGATGACCGGCTTGTTAGGAAGTCGATGACATTATTGAGTTTAGTAAGGATTGCACATGCACACATAAGTCTGTTTCGCTTCTCTTAACACTGGTAAGGGCTAAATAGGGTCGTACAATGTTGATAAATATGCATTAAGACATAAAATAATATAACCTAAAAAATACATTCAACACAACAAAAAAAGAAAATACTAAAATATTAACTTAAAATATTTGTTTAACAGTTTGAAACTAGATTCACCTGGGAAGTGTTTCTGCAACAGGAAGGAGGCCAGCTGGTACGCATTGCTGTTCAGTCGTCTGTCAGACTCGTATTGGAACCAGTGAACAATGTCACCAACACTCACTCCGTTCCATTCCATCAACACGGGGATCTGCAGACATATCACACATCACTTGTACCCAGGCTCCTAGACATCACTGAGGTTTGGGGAGGTAAAAATTACCACCTCCTCAATTAGAGACAAAAAATCGATTAGATTTAGAGGTTAACTGTAAGAAAGGACCAGGAGGTCCTAAGTTCGCCTCAACAAAGAAGGATTTTCATTTCATTTCATTAGAGGAGTCTGGGGGCTCTCCCCCGGGAAAGTGTTCCACGGCCTGGTCTTGATGTCGAGGAGACAGACCATCATAATCATAATCATAATCTTTCAAAGATCAAGGTCATACTCTTTTTGGATGGTGAGAAAGTCATAAACATCGCCCGTGATGCGGGGAAATGGTGAACAGCTCTGAGGTTGTGATTATTGAAATATTTTTTCCAGAGTTTTATTTAAAGTGAAGTAGTTTACAAAAACAATCGTGATGAAAAAAGGTCTCTTTTAATCGCGGCAAAATCATTAACATCATCTGTGATCACATTGAAATCGTGAACATCTCCACAAACTATCTTGAGCATTCCCACACAGGAAAATTTACAGCTTCCACTGAACTCACTATCTACAGTAATACATCCTGACTAATGAGATTACTTTGTAAACACCCCCTGGGGATATGGTTGTGTTGCAGTGCTTGAATCCAGCCCTGTTCATATCATCATAGAACTTCACTGTTTGTAAAAAAAATTGTATAAAATCATATAATCTTTTACCTCTACAGGTGGATTATCGTAAGCCACTCCTTTCCACCAATGTTTAAAGCCGCAGGGACAACGATTCAAAGGGTTCTTGACGGGTTCGTTTGTCACGTCTCCGTTCTCGTATGCCACTGTGCCATCATGATGAATCATGCGGAGTTTCCTGCGAATAAATCATATAAACATCACTCACTTTTGTGTTATACAACAAAGGAAAAGAAATTTCCAGCATATGAATACAATGATTCTAGCCTAACTATTCAAGGGCAATTTTCTTCCAGACGGCCATTTTAAAATATAGCACCCCTGTAACTACCATTTTAGCTACTTAATAAATGCTACTTAAAATATGCGCTTAAAATATAGATAAATAAAATAACATGTTACAATGGTTCTGGAAACTGTTTAATTAGTCAAAGAGGTTTGGTTTGGCAGGCCGAGTTACCATAGCAAAAATTTTACAGCTATGCAATCGTAATTGTGTGTCAGAAACACTTGTAATCTAATAGATCCTTATTTTTTTCTTTGTTTTTGACCGCTTAATAATCTAAAAACTTGTGTTGTTTTCAGATTGGCGTTGCCTGTCGTTATTTGAAGCTCTGTTAATATCCGAGGACAAAATAAAATGAGTTATCAAAATGTTAAATGTTCCATGCTTTCTGAATCTGAGATGGAAAATTTCTCCAATATTTTAAACCGAATAACAATACTAACAGGAATACAAGAATGTACCTAAAATTTAGAACTATTTCATGAGGCTTATGGTTTACTCTACTCACCCACTACAGAACATGCAGCTGTCCATACTTAGAGCAGAGTCTACTACCAACATGTCTTTTTTAGCATTGTAAGTACATGTGACGCCCTGAAAACAACAATACACTGCAATCGGGTTGACACTTAAAATGTGGTTTGAAAAAATTAATACCGGTACTTAACTCCTCGTTCATAGACGAGCACTAATAATTTATAATCATTCAATAAGCCATTTTTCTTTGCGAATCTTTGTCTTACTTCAACATAAATTTTAGAGGGATAAATTTTAACCACTGAACTTTAGGCTACCGAATTTTCTCAGGATCTTATGATTGATGCCTCTTTAAAGGGCACCTTCAAGTGGAACCTTTTGATTACCAAGCAAGCACTACCTGTATAACCACTCATCTACCCAGCTATATTTAGGTAACCCTTAAGAAATTGTGTTCAAGCAAGAAAATAAGTGAGTCACTTTCAATTTAATGCTCACATAAGCCGTGAAGGGATACTTGCGATCCTCTTGTAGGAAGCCGTATTGTTTCTTGGCCATTGCGTAGAGGAAGCCGCGCGGTCGCAACCAGTCGTCACTCAGAGGTAGAATGTTGATGGCGTCACACACCAGACAGCGCTGCAGCCTGCGATCCTGCAGAGCTGCGGTTGTAGCTTCCACTACTGACATCATCCGCAGTCCTGCACCTGGAAACAGAAGATAACTTCAGCTCTTGGGATATGTTGAATGTATGACCTAGTTCTGTCTCTATTCATCTTCTAATAACAATATTCCCAGTGAAGTCTAATTGAGATTCATAACTGAACGCAAACCACAATACTCAGCACATAGTGTATAAAAAATCAAAACTCAAAAATATTAAATCAAGAGAAAAGGTTATATGACACTTTAGGTTTTGAATATTGATAGTAGACATTACATTCCTATGTTTGAGTTGTAGCCAGCTTTATACTAAAAGTGGATGTTGAACAGAGCCACAAACAGATAGTGCTGGTTTAAATTAATGATTTCTTTTGAATACCAAAATAGTTAAATCAATCCAAACAGAAAGACAACTTGTTATGAAACAACTTCGAGAGACAATTCCTCATTGTCTCTTTCAGAAAAGACACATTATTAAATGTAGTGAAATGCCACCTGATGAATGCCTGCAATCTGCCTATCCGTTACTTTTCAGGAAAGTGACACCAGATTGCCAAAATATGTTCTTCTTATCTACAAATCAACCTTAGGCTTCATTTTATGTTGTTTGTTGTTGTTCTGGATCGGTATGACATACAATAAAAGGTTAAATTACCTGTGTCCGCCAGTCGATCCTTATGTGCTGTGTCCTATTACAGGATTCTGCCGAAATGCATATCCTGTAATAGGACACAGCACATAAGGATCGACTGGCGGACACAGGTAATTTAACCTTTTATTGCAACCTTAGGCTGTTTGAGTCAGCCTGTTTTGAAGGTGTGTAAAGAGCGAGCTTACTTACTCCTCGTAAAAGGCGTACTTCAGCCTATAGCCTACAATGTATTTGAGTGACCCTAGACACCATGTACAGCTGTGCACCATGTGTATCAGTGTATATCTCCACCATGGAGATATACACAGAAGTATGTGTCAATAAAAAATATTAAGGAGATGATGAAGGTAACGAGACAATTTTTTTGTGTTCTGGGACGCTAGGCATGAGCCTGGGATTGTTTTCCACCTTACTTCAGGCTAGACCTAGGGGTTATGGCATTATCACTTGGATTAAATCCATTGGTGACTTGGCGGGGATCGAACCCGGGACCTCAGGGACTGAAGTCCCGCGCTCTAACCACTACACCAGCTTGCTCCCCTAAGGTAAAGAGACAATAGAAACCTCTTTACCTTCACAAGACAATGTGAGACAGGAGTCATCTTTAACTCACCAGTTTTCCTGCTGGCGTACTGATACAGGTACATGTCCGTTACCAGCTGAGCTTGAGCTCCATACTTGTTGTAGAACAACTCATCCATAGCACAAGTCAGTCGCAGCATGTAGCCAGCCTGTATGCAGTTCTCACCACCTGGACATTGCATTAGTTAATAAATGGTATCAGCAATCTAAAACATACTTTCTCCCATTACTTTGTCAACAACCTTTATCATGAATCATGAATATTATGATAGGAGTAAATACCGTTCCATGGTATCTTCAGGCATTTAAAAATTATTTTTTTTCACATCAAAATAGGACCACAGATGTGATCTGTAGCTCTGTAAACATTCACACACACACTTTTTTGGGTTTAGGGGGACTCTAAACAGATATCCCGAAACTCAAACTCAAACATTTTGACAAAAACAACACTTTGTTTGGGGAAAAGAACTATGGAAAACATACTAACAGATGAATAGGAAAAATAATAAATACAAAAAGTGATAGCCTGGAATATTTTTAATATATTAAGAAAAACCGTGTCTGAAGAAAAGCTTGTGTAGATTAAAAAAGTAGAATGATGATTTAATGTTCTCTTTATGTAATCGTAATTTATTTTTTTTTATTAGTCTTGTAAATGTTTTAAGTTGGTTTAATCTTTTTACCTAAGTTATGAAGAAATCAAAGCTTGTCGATATTATGTTTAATAACCGCACTGTGTTTTAATTTAATTTTGATACCTCCTTTTTTTGCAGAAGCATTATACTGCTTTATTCAAAGCTTGTTTATACAGCAATACAGTACAATGGATGGCTGTTCTTTACTGAGATTTAGTATCCTCTGGGTTTAAAACCAAGTTAATGACTCATAAAATATTATGATTACGCAGTATTATGATTGCACGATATTGCTTCTTGTTGATATCGTCTTAATTGTCACATATAGATACAGTTATTTATTTCCGTATACTGTAGCTGTAGCAATATTTCATTACGTGAAATAAAACATCCTGTATTTTTTTTGTTGAAGTCCACCCCTTCCCAAAACCACATCTCAACAAGCCACAAAGCTTTGGCTAGAAAAATGCTATGTAATTGCTGTTTTTGTAAAAAACTACATGGGAACAAAACCATTATGCCACTAACTTAGTTCTATCGACTCACCGATGACGAGGCAGTTGTTCTCGTTGAACTGCAGATACTGCTCTAGAACAGACTGGGGAAGTCCCCACACTTTGGGCAGTAGTGACTTGGGGAACTGAGGCAATGGGCCTGTAAACATTTTTACACATCCAGTGAATTATTGGTTAAATGTATGAGTTTTTCAGTTATACTACTAATTTTGAAGATTAAAAAATTGTAGATTGTAGAAAAATGTTATCTCAGAATATTAGTTGTAAATATTGATAAACACACAGAAGTTTGTCTTAAGAATGTGGCATAGAGTAAAAGGGCCTAAATTTTTAGGATTTTCCAGGATAGCATTTTGCAAATATTATATATTACAGCATAGCGTGCTACAGAGTTTTTTTCCTTGTTGTAGTAAATTATTATTGGACAACTATAATTTCTAAAACATTTCTAAATGATATTTATAATTATTAAAGTAGGAAATTGACTTTACCTACTCATCCAGAGTTTATATGTTTTATCAATATTTAAACAAATGTGTAAGCTGTGCTAGTGTTTTTCTGTCAAATCTTGTACCAATAATGATGATTCCAGTATCAAGTACTATGTGAAGTTTCTGCAAAATTAAAAAAATGTTGCACAAAAACTAATTATTATATGTTATAAAATACTTAAACTCTTAAGGAACCTGGAAACAAAATGGGTTTTCAATCAACAACAAACAACAAACAGTTGATTAAAACATTCACCTCTGATACTGGCAAAACAATCTTACCAAATAATAGCAGTTCAGGTTGGAATTTAGTTTTCAATGAGCCATACATGTACATAATTACGAATAATATATATTTTACAGCTAATAAAATCAACACTTGTTCGTCTGAGGATTTCGTAACAAGGTATTTCTAGCTAGACCTGGCAAATGAGAGCACTGTAATTCACTTACGTTCTTTGACGGGAACCAGAGGAATGTAGTGGTTTCGGGCCGGGCTGCTCCAGGCTAGACACAGCGGGGGGTTCAGCCTGCCTGCTTTGTTGCAACACCTTTCTGGGGGAAACAACCCCGGTAGGAACACAGCTGAAACACATCCAAACTTGTATAGTCGCTTGAGAGAAGATTATTTAGCTTGGGAACACAGTGAATAAGGGATGAATACACAACTAACCTAAGAGCTCGAGGCAATTGATAGCACATGTCCAGTAAGTTGAAACCAAGAAGAAAACAAAAACAAATTCCAATGTCGTCATCGGAACTTCTGATGAAAATGGATTAATAACTGCTGGTCAGAAGAAAGCCTGGATTTTTGTAGGGCGACTAAAAGGTGACACGACAACTGAAGCTGTTAGTGACTTTGTTAAAAACACATTCCAAAACATTGAAGTGACAACAGAAAAGTTGGAAACCAGAGGAACAAATGCAAGTTTCCGTCTCTCAGTCGACTTCGACCGAAAGGATGAGTTGATGAACCCTGCTGTTTGGCCTAAGAACACCCTACTCAAGCGTTTTTTATTCCGACGAGTGACAAACAAACCTCCTACGTAGTAAGAAAAGACAACCCACCATCAAATCCAAAGCCTACAGATGAAAATATTGTCCACACAGATCCAAAGCGCAAAGACATTACTATTTGTGCTTTAAATGTTCAGTGTTTGAGGAACAAAAGTGAACTTGTGTCTATCTTCGCTGAAGAAGCTAAATGCGATATTCTTTGTATATCAGAGCACTGGCTGGCAAATGGTGAGGAATGTTATTACTCTAACCTAGCTAACCTCAAACTTGCAAATATCTTTTGTAGAAGTGAAAGACTTCATGGTGGTGTTGCTATTTATAGCACCTGTAATATAAATTTTAAACAAATAGACACTTTGAGATTTTGTGTTGAACTCCAATTTGAGGTTACCGCCATCCTGTTGTCAGACTTCTCGGTTGTTGTGTTATCTGTGTACAGATCTCCAGATGGCAAAGTGGATATTTTCCTTGATCTGCTTGACTCCTGCCTTAATTATCTGCTAAATGCTCTCAAACCCCAGAAAATAGTCATATGTGGAGATTTTAATATTCACCTCGAGTGTCACTCCAGAGACGAGGAACTCTTCTCTAACCTGCTTCGTAGCTATGGACTATATTTCACCACCAGACAACCAACTCGTGAGCAAGCGTGCCTCGATTCCATAGCTACCAACGTTGACTCCTGGGACTGGGAAGTGTGCATAAGGGAACCTGTTGTGGCTGACCACAGTGCAGTTCTGGTTACAATAAACTCTAACAAGGTAAGCCCCTGCTCAAATAAACCTGCTTGGTATGCAAAGTATGTTGCTGCTAAAAGATCTATAAATGATAATGATATGCCTCTATTGTGTCACAAATTGCTACATGCTTTTAGGGCCATCCCAAATGCAGATAATTGTCCTGAGCCTGAGGTAGCTTTTAACATCTTTTTTGATAATTTCATGGACAATTTCAACCAAATCTTCCCTCTCAAAGTCATGAAGGCCAAGCCCCGTTCCAGTAACAAAACTCATACCGATAAATCCTGGTATACCCAGGAACTGGCCAAACTACGTTCTTACATATGTATTCTTCATGATTTTTATAAGACGTCTACTGTCCCTGAACGGAAAGAAAGACTCCATGCTTTATATCTTCAATCCAAAAGACTCTATCGTTGTAAAGTAAACGAAGCAAAAAAAGGTTCTAATGTGTTAAAGATAAAAGAGGCGTCCAACACTTGTAAAGCAGCATGGGACATTATAAATTCTCACAGGTCTCCTAAACCTAAAACCGTAACAGCAGGTTCCCCTGATGATTTTAACAATTTTTTCTCAGAAATAGCTGACAAAGTTGTGGCTGATTTACCTATTTTGCAGACTGACCCAGCGGACTCTCTACTGGATGTATCATCATTTTGCAGCCTAAATCATTGGAATCAGGTGAGCCCTAGTTTCATTATTAAACTAGTTAAAGGTTTCAAAAACTCAAATAGCCAGGATGTTTTCGGTGTCTCCTGCTCTGTTTTGAAGGCTGTCATCCACACCATCGTGGACCCACTCACGACTGTCGTAAACCTCTGCCTGAGAAGCGGCTGCTTCCCTGACGCGCTCAAGACTGCACGAGCCATCCCAGTATTCAAGAAAGGTGACCCCTCACTGCTGTCCAACTACAGGCCTATTGCCATACTGCCTGCCCTCTCTAAAGTCATAGAGTCTGTAATGAAGATACAATTAATAAAGTACTTTGAATCTAATCACCTACTTGCAGATGCTCAACATGGCTTTCGGAAAGGACGATCTACCACAACGGCCCTCTCTAGCTTGGTCGAACAGATTGCAGACGCTTTTGAAGCTAAGGACTCAGTTCTGCTAAATATGTGTGACCTGAGTAAAGCGTTCGATGTAGTATCGCATAAAATTATTATCTCTAAGCTTAAGAAGTATGGGGTAACTGGCGTGGTCCTGCAAACCATCATCTCCTATCTAGAAGGTAGAAAGCAGGTTGTCTCTCTCGGTGGTGCGACTTCTGGGGTGAAGCTTTTGAGACATGGAGTTCCCCAAGGCTCGGTTCTTGGCCCCCTCCTCTTCACTATCGTCATTAATGATCTGGCATTAAACAACAAAACATTGCTTTTTGCAGACGACACCACACTGGTCACCAGAGGCAGTGATCTAAACCAGCTAAGTGCCGACGCAGAATGCCTTCTGTTTTATGCAAAGGAGTGGTTCAGCCAGAATCTACTCAAAATAAACGACGACAAAACACAAACACTGCTATGCACACTCAAGCCAAACTACTTGGGCGAGGAAGCCGTCAAACTCTTGGGATTCTGGATTGACTCCAAGTTAAGTTGGAAACAACACATTAGCCAGGTATGTGTTAAGCTTGCTAGAGTAGTATTTCTTCTGAGGAAACTGACATTGGTAATATCTAAGCCTTACTTAGTGACGGTATACCATGCTCTTTTTCAAAGCCACGTGAGCTATGGCATTGCACTCTGGGGTCATACAGCTGCAGCACATGACATCTTGCTCCTTCAGAAGATGGCTCTGAGGGTGATAACGTCCGCCGGATACCGTGACCACTGTAGGCCTATCTTTAGGGATTTAAAGATTCTGACCGTCTACAGTCAATACATCCTCAATAGCCTGGTATTACTTAAGGAAAACTCAGCAACACTTGTTCGACGTGAGGACCAACACTCATACCAGACACGGCATGCCCATTTACTTGACCTGCCAAGATGCCGTCTTGCCTGGACCCAAAAGGGCTACCCTTACTATACCAGCAAGCTCTACAACACACTCCCATCTGAAGTGCGTGAGTTAGACGTGAAAGCTTTTAGAGACAAACTGAAGGACTATTTGGTGCGCAGACCTCTCTATTCGTTGACTGAGCTAGAGGACACACCACTTTTTGGCAACCCGCCGCCATCATAAGTTTTATTACCTATTCTTTTTTAGTTATAAGTTTGACGCAATCTATTCCGACATTGTCGGTCACCGATGCAGTGCTCAAGTATCAAGTAAGTAAGTAAGATATTTAACTCCTTGGGGGGGGGAGGGGCTTTTTGATTAGGAATTGCCTTTTGACTTTTTACTGTATATTCTTTAAGAATTTCTCTTACAGGGTTGAAATAAAGCTAATTTTGGAGCGGCGTGTCTTTTCATGGATAAGTTTGTTATAAATCAATTCCTTCCTTCTTACCATAAGAGTACGGTAAACACATTTTGGACATGTGACAGTGACGTAGGATATTTTTGCCATAACTTACTAAACTATTGTGACGGGTAGTCACCAAAAGTTATTTTCTAAATTTTGGGATTATATTTAAAAAGTAAAAGACCTGGTAAATGGATTTCACAATGCATATACCAACCTGGCATTGGCATTTAGTAGACAGAATTCTTGATGACACATACCTTGCTCAATCGACCGACCCACAAAAACCGTAGACTTAGCATTTGTACTTTGGAGGGACTGAGGTTGGGAGTTGACCGAAAGGAAGACACTTGGCCCCAGACTGTTCAAGGGGGCACTTCGCCTGTCACCGGTTTTTGGTAAGGCGACTACTATTTTAATTTTTACATTTTAAAATTTTGTGATTGTCCAGGTTAGTTTAACGTTTTAAACAAATTGATTGATGTTAATCGTAATAATTTTTATAATAATTGATTTCATTTATAATTTGTGTGAATAAATATAGTTTACTATTAAATTCCTTATTGAATATTAGAACGTGTCAAAAAGAATTATAACTATTAGAGTTTTTGATATAAATTTCATTTGCTTACGCCTACTTATGTAAGGAGCCTGTAATCATTTTATTATCCATCATTATTATATTTATCATATTGTCCATCCACTTTATTTGAATAATGATTATAAACATTCTTTTACCTCTCACTAAAGTATTATTATTTAAATCGATCGCGGTTACGCCCCCGGTCACAATTTTAATTGTGGCACTATCTTAACATTTGAAAAACTTTACAAATTGGTTATATATTCCCAGCGACTAAAGGAATTTACAATGACTCACCACTAAGAGAGGTTATGTTTTCTTTTATTGATTTGTCGGTCGACTTGCTGCCAATTATAATCAGCTGGTATCTGGTAAAAGTCCATTACAGTACAGTAGCAAGTTATAAAATCACATTTGATTAAGTAGGCAGCAAAAAGCTGTTTCCCGGACTAACTTCATGCATGGAATGTCTATTAAAACATTTTGGACGAGTTACGTTCGATAGTTTACGCAATACTACTAAATCTGTACAAATCCTTATATATTACCACCAACTAAAGGACTAAAAATCACTAGTCATAACCTCTAAGAGAGGTTATGTTTTTGTTTATAACCACTCAATGCCACCCAAATACAGTATAATCAGCTGATTGGTGTCCGGTAAAACTGAACTCATTACAGTGCAGTAGTACGCAATGAAACCCCATTTGATTAAGTTGGCAGCAAACAGCTGTTTTCTGGACTAAATCCTTGCGTGGGAAGTTCGTCAAAATTGTGTAGTGTGGCATTAAGTAATTTATGTCAATACATAATATTCTCTAACTGCTACTTATACACAGAAAAAAGAATAATGCTATTCAATGCCTACGTGTAACTGTGAAACCATAACATCCTACTGTGCAGTAGGTCCCCAATCAAACTGGGGTGGATGATTCAACACTGGAATTCCGTTTTCCTTAATCATTGGCATTGGAATGATTCTTGTTAAAGAACTGATGACAGTCTAGCTATCTTCCATTCTACACTTATTCTCTTCAATCAATACGGACAAAGGATTGACAAGGTTGAATATAGATAAGGATTTGGAATTTAACCTAACTAGTTGTTACCCACGGGCTTCACCCCGTTTGACTTCATAAGTATTAATAAAACTATTGATTGGTTATGTTAAGCTGAAATAAACAAAACATACTTACAGCTGAGGTATTTTTAACATTAGGTATATGGAAAGTTCCCTTTGGAAAGCAATTACGACCTTATAGGGCAATTTAAGAAATAATGGATAATTTTGCGCAAGGTTTCTCGTCATGACGAACATTTTAAGTATATGGTTTATGGGGTGTGACTTGTAGTTTCCTCAAAAGTTGATGGGTACTTTTGGCTTTATATATAGATTTTGTATTTGTTTTAAGTACAATAGAAACCTAAAAGTACAAATTGACTTGTCGAGAGAAACTCAATCCGCAGAACTAAAAATGTTTTAGGCAACATCTAGACTAGAGGGTTTCTATTGCATTAATGACTAAAACCTGAAACTGAGCAAGTTCCCTTTACTAGAAGTCTGCAGGTCTTCGATATTTCTGAACGGGTCAAGCCAACAGTTGGTTTGTGTTTGGGCCAGACATAGTCCCGAGCTCAGGTCGGGTCATTTATGTTGGAGGTTCACACCTTTTTCCGCGATCACTGGAAAATTTTAAAATTTAGCAGTGACTCAAAAAGACATTCTTGAATTCACCGTGACAGCGGGAAGGTTCACAATTTAACCGCTATTGCAGAGATTATTTACAATATTGTGTAAACCGTAGTCTAATACAACAATTAATATTTTTGGCCCATAGACCCTTCCTCTCCACCATGAATAGTTTGCACATACCGGCATAGTCGGCAGAAGTGTTCATGCCGGCCACTGAGTCCAGCAGCAGGATGGGTCGCCGCAGTACATTTGCCAGCCCGAACACATGGATGGGTCTTAGACCCACGATACCATCAGGTGGGACAAAGTCTGGGTCACACTCCGCAATGATACACGGCCACTCCGACCCGTTGATAAAGTCTCCTAGGAGTTCCTGTACAAGTTGAGAAATTAAAAAACTTGTATACACTTTATTATGAAGCATAAATGGTGAAAATATTATACTTGGAATTTAAATGTTTGCATCAAATTTCTTAAAATGCGGATCGGCTTTACCTGAGTTATTGTGCTAACGTACATTTATATAGCCTGTACTTAAATGATTATTCGACTGTAGGCATTTAAAAGAATCAGCCCTGCTTCTGGGTCTTATTATTTATGGTAATAGCTTATTCCCTTCCCAAATATTTGGTAATAGCTTATCTCCTTCACAAATATTGGCCATATGGAAAATGTGCTAATTAAAGACTGAGCCACTTGACCCTGTGGAAAAGGAACGGAACAATTTTCCTCCTTAAGATTAGTAAAATTGTTCGAGGAAAGTGTTGGTTACGTATGTTTCTACCTTGAACCTAACAAAAGATAAATTCTTTTCTCATGATTATGGGAAGGTACCTATAAAGGAATTGCAGGACAGTAAGAAAATGGATTGAGTTAATTGTACCTAGCTAACCTAATAATGAAGTGAAATTGAGTTATTTAAATTTAACTCTAGCATTATTAAGTTTACAGCTTGCTAATTTCTCTACATTTTAGTGATTGGAGGTGACAAACAAGTGCTTTGGCTGTTTTTTACAATTTATTTATGAATTTAAAGCAATGAATAGAAATGCTATATAGGCTAATTTAGACTTTATTTAAGCTTTAAATTTAATTTTGTTTGGGCCTACTTTACTTTTTTTAATGAGGTTGGGCCTCTTTTAACCTTGCATTTGCCCGCCCACATAGACTATGGACCTGTGCATGGAACGTATCCAGCAAAGGAAAGGGGTGAGCCGGTACTGTACACGCTGACTTGGGCTTGGAGTCCATGACCGTGACGCTACCGACTCACCACATTACCTGAATCAATTAACGTCACAGACTCACAAACAATTTAATATCAGCCCAATAGCAAGGAGGTCTGGAGATCATAAAACCCCATAGTTCATTGACAATCTTTGGAAAATAAGTGCTAAACGTTGAGTTTTTAATGTATTGTTTACTAGACGTTACACACTAAATAGTGTAGTACCATTTTTCATATTTTCCTACAAAAATGACTTATGCTCATACAACAGATAACTTTTGAACTTCACTGGCTCCTTGAGGGGGTTAGAGGGCACGGTCCCTTTATGCCCCCTCATGGCACCTACGCCCAGCATATTTAGGAGTGGGTCCATCTCAGTTATCCGGTTACTAAGTAAACTTAATTTGGAATAAAAACTGCATTAAAACTGAAATGATCAAAATTAGCCTAATTAAAATTTGTCTGAAGTAAAAAAACTGAAAATAGTAAACTGGACTATTCCAAGATCTGCATTTAGTTTTAGCATGCATTCATATTAGCTGTGAACAATCATCCTAAACTCAGTACACTTGCTGATTGTATTCTCACACAATAGAATCAAATGACCGAACCTTGTAAGTATCCAAATGATCCTTGAAGTGAATTTGGAGGTCAACGCGCAGCGGGTGCCAGAACATTTCTCGGCCAACCAACGCTCTGGAAACTGCATGTACCAGGCAATGGCCATCGCCATCTACGTGCAGCGGAACTAGCGTCTCTCTACACAAGTAAAATTAGTATTAATTTAACTGACTACTTGATCCCCACCAATCAAAAACCATTACGCAATAGTAGACGGCTTTACACAGCTAGTTCGTGTTGTTGTTTTGACTGTTTATGTTCTAGTAAATGTTTGTTTACGAGTTGTTTTGGTAATAGTATTGCAGGTTGTGAACATGTACTTACGTTGAAAAATACATTTTAAACCTTTAAAAAATGATAGTACCACAACTTATTTGTGTGTTTTACTGATAGCTTTTGGCTAATTGCATAAACTGTACTGGTAACTGGACTTTGGTAATTGAGGCCTATAGGTGCATTTGATTATATTTTGAACGTTTGTATATTTTGTACATGGCTTCTAATAGTAATTTGAATTATAAACATAATAATACACATAAAATACAGTAAAATGTAAAATGATATAGCCTAGTTTTGTCTGTAATAACATAAGTCTTAGATCATGATTTAGGTTGTTTGCTGGGTAGGCCCTAGAATTTTTTTGAGACCTCTCTGTTACATATTTTTATGGACATATAAAACAATTATATTTGTTATTACATAATTTCTCAGTTTTTAATGTTCTTTAAAATCAATGTAAAATTGAATGTCTATGAATAAAGTCCAGGAAATCCACCAACTAACCAATATGGGAGCCCTGTCCACGACTGGAATACCACCCCCCTAGCAAAATGTGATGCTATGTAATTGTAATTTTAATTTGAATAATTCAGTTTTATAACAGAAAAGGGGGAATATCAAACAGAATTTTGAAATGTTACAGCAAGTTTGATTGGTTAAGTTTGAAAACGAATCTTGGGTGTCCATGAATGGAAAACTTTAAACTCGTGGAAAAAGAGGACACAAACACAAATTTATCTCATTAAGCCAGTCTTCAAGTTTGTTATTGAATAAGAAGTTAGTTTATTGCTAAAGGTGGTCTGGAAATATGGAAAAATAGGGAAAGAATATTAGTTATATTAGAGTAAGCAGCTAACCCTATGTTTCCTTCCTACTTTGCTGATTTTCATCCATGGGACAGTTTTGATTTGCTGCAAATAGTTTACGCTTTGACAACAAATAACTTACTTGTTATCATTGTAAGGCAGTAGCAGAGCCAGTGTGTCTGCAAGGTAGCTAGCACTTCCGCTCTGATCCCTGCCGTAGCCGCTGATGTTCAAATGTCTCTCCTCGATACTGAAGCATCTGTCTCCGAATACACTACAGTCCAATGTTGGTCTCTGGAGAAGCTCCTTGAGCGGTCTCGCCTTTCCTGTCTTCTTGTCCATTCCATGAGTCGTTAACAGATGGGACAACAGCTTGTGATGGTAGTTTGAAACTCCGAGCACTTTAATTGTTTCAGGACCTCTCTTAGGAGTCTGAGTTTCTACCAACAAACTGGTCAATAGACTTTGCAGCTTGGTTTCCAATCCCTCAACAGGTTTTTTATCGGGCAATTCTTTCACATTGTGAGTCTGACCGCATCCCCGACACGCCACTGTTGTGAAAGCAGCCGGGAAAATGATACGGTATTGACAGTACTCGTCAAGACAAGTGCTGTAGAACATGCTCCTGCAAATGAAAATAGGCTATTTTAGTTTTGTCTATTTGAAGACATATTAGAGGCTAACTTATATAAAAAATAATAAGTTATGGACTAGATAGGACCTAGGTATTGACCACAGTATCTAGAGAGAAAAGGTCATACACTTCAGTTGGCCCTGTTGTTTTTGGACTGTGTTGTAGGCCTAATCAAAATCCATACGAAAAATACATCCAAGGTGATTAATCTGTTATTAGATTTTTTCGTACAAAACGTAGTAAGTGTAGTAAGTTAGGTAACAAAGCTTACTCAGGATGGCTAATAGTTCAACACTGACCATAGACATAACAGGCTTACCGGCTTACCCAGCACATGCATAACACATGGATTTGGACAGCTCTCCCTTAAGTTAGAGTTTTTAAGTTCCTCTTGTGATTCATCGTAAAAATGCCACTGTTGTAGAGATATCAAGAAAAAAAGGTATTTATTCCGTACAAGTGCCTCCAAACGAATTTTTGATTTTGATATCTTACTTTATAGTTTTTTACCTCCTGAATCCAAATACACCATTAATTTTCACCGCTGATGAATATTTCTCAAGATATCGCCGTAAAAACATACCTAACATTACAATAAACAAGATAGGATGGATGACATTTACAAGTGGAATGAACTGTAGGTTAACTAAGCCTTAAGCCTACTTACAGCTGATTGTTTTCAACCACACGACAAGAACAACTGGAAGTAACAACTTTTGAACTTCATTAACTCACTCTGATTCTGTCACCGGCAATTCGCCTATTGACGACATTTTACTTCACTACAAATAAAATACAAAACAAAATACTCATTCGTACCTACTCATACGTGTTCCGTAGTGCTAGCTAAGTGCTATTCTGTAGAGATTTTTGCTTGCTATTCTGCAAGCATTTTTGAAATAGTTATTTGAAGTGTTTTTCTCAGGATTTTAGCCTAATTTTACAAAAACAGTCTGCAGGCGACATAAACTAACAACTCGATACATTATAACCTAAACTTTAACTTACCTAATCTAACCTACCTTCAAAGGACTTAATGCAGTCACCAATTCACATAAAGCACGACCTATCACCCTGACATGCCTTTTCTGACATCAAAAGGAGTTTGCTTACACATTCTAGAGGTTTGGTTAGGTTAGGTTATGTTAGAATAGTACCATTTTAGTATGTAATTTCTAAACGGCGAAATATAAATCAATAAATCATTAATAAGGATAAAATACTGGAAACAATAATACATTATTAACTTATTGGTCTTAGAAAGTGAAAAGTGTACTTAACTTAATCAGGTGATTTTCATATTGCAGAATCAGAGTTAGCTAATAAAAGTTGTCACTTCCATTTGCTTGACTATGATTGAAAACAATCTGCTGGTTGGTTTAGTTAACCCATCGTACATTCCACATTCCACTTGTAAATGTCATCCATCCTACCTTGTTTATTGCAATGTTAAGTATGTTTTTACGGCGATATCTTGAGAAATATTCATCAGCGGTGAAAATTAATGGTATATTTGGATTCAGGAGGTAAGTTAAAAAACTATAAAGTAAGATATCAAAATTAAAAATTCGTTTGGAGGCACCTGTACGGAATAATTACCGAAAAAAAAGATAATAAGATTTATTAAGTGTAAAAATCACATGGGAGACTAGCCTAGGGCCTTCTTGGCAACTACCGGTACTAGTTATGATTGCAACTACAAATCTACGGTAGCCTATACAAAAAATAGCCAACTCTTACTGTGATATCCAGTGTTTCATCTCTGACCTTAGGTCACTAACTTAGCATCCCCCTGACCATTCATTGTAGGCATATAAACTTAAAGGGCTGCACCAAAGTGCATGCCTAGTAAGATACTGGTAGGTCTATAAAATATTTGTCTAAATCTGAACTTAATTGGTTAGGTTTGGGTAAGAAGAATTTTACACACAATTAATTGACCTAGGGCCTACAATGAGATGATAGCCTAATATCTCTTAGTAGGCCCTAAGTAACTTAATTAAGTAGGCTAATATATCTAGTCTAGCCTAGGCCTAGTCTAGGTTTACAAAGTTAAGATTTACTTTCGTGATAGGCCTACTTATATTTGCTAAGACTAAGTAGCCTATAGCCTATTTAGGACGAAGGACCTTATAAAACTGGGTCAAATGTTCTTAAACCTAATGATTTCCGTGTATTGTTAATATGCATAGGCTAAGGCCTTGTTATAAGCCTAGGCCTACCTAAATAAATGTTGGTTTGGCCTTTAGGCCTATTAGGCTTTTCTTTTAGCTCAGTGAAATTAAAATAGGCTAGGCATAAGTTACACCAGTTTCAATGTAGAAATTAACTTTAAAATCAGATCCAAGTACCGTAACGAAATAACATGAATATTGTAAATGTTCTTTTCGAGAGCCAGAGCATTCTCTTCCCCCGTGTCTACTAAGTTACTTAGCTTAGGCTATTCAACAAAGGCTAATTTACTCACATATTGGAAGAGATGAGGAAACTAGAAAACTGATGTTCAAAGCAATATTCCAAAATATTGGCTGTTCCCCTGAATCATATTTCGGAAACACTCATGGAATGAAATATTTACATTTCTTAACAAGTCAATGACATAAACAAAACCATATTCTTTTGTAACAGTCACATTCACAATCACAAAAATAAAGCAAAGTAAGGACTAAGGAAAGGATTAAGAAATAAGATTTTTCAGAATATAACGAAAACAGAAAACATATGATTATGATGATGACTGACTGACAGAATTGGACGACATTCAGATTCAATTCAATTCAACTGGCAGTGGCTTGGCTTTGGAAAATCGGCAAATCACAATTCAGCTTTTAGATTTTTTGTGGTTTATCCACAGCCAACCTAAAACCAACGAGCAAGTTAAACAGCCTGGCGTCACATATAGCATACGAGCTGTATGTATATGATACGTGTATTGCAATGCAAGCTAATGAAAAAACTTGCCATAGTGGTGATCAGAAATCTTACATACAGTATTCTTTCTCCAATTAGTTTGTCAACAATCCCTTATCATAGTGGGTGTAACTAAGATTTTTTATGGGGTAACCACAAAATTTCAATACGTAAATGAACCATAATTTTTAAACACTAATGGGGAGTTTTACCATTTTGTTTATAGTTAAAAGGACTATAATATACTCTAAATTATAATCAAAACCGGTCAAACAGTATTTTTGAAAATCTTATTTCCGTTTTTTATGGGTATTAATGGGAAAACAACAACAACAATAAAAAAAAAACTTTTTAACCACCGTTTTTACAGCGATGATAGAGGGGTTGTAAGATTTTTTGAGCTAAAGGGCTATAACATACTACATTTCAATTAAACTCGTTCAGACTGATTATTTTAAGAGTACCTAACGAGAAAATCAACAAATTAAAATTTAAAAAGTTAATAAAAAACAAGAATTTTGACGAAATCAATGCTTTTCCATATACTATATGTATGTATAGGGAGAGAAAGTAAAATGTGGTCAGGACAATGATGCATTCTCTACTAAGTACTTGACAGACAATTCAGAGTTGTTAAAGGATTTCCTTCTCATTCCCTATAACAAATATTAGCGAATACAGCACAATGCTGCTGGCCAGGTATAAATATGCCATCAGGTGTGCGTAGTTCTTAAAAAAATAAATTTATTATAAATTGATTTGATTTAAAACGTGGACATATTTACACTAGGGGCCACGAGAGTCTGCAGTTGGCGGCAGCGAATAGCAAGACTGGACCAACGCACGTTGCAACATCGCCTCTGTTCACCAATTGTCAAAACTAATTAAATTTTATATACTAAACAATATTTTCAAATCAGCTAGTATTATTAGATTTGGCAACACCGCACTGTCCTCATTGGCTCATTCTAAGTCACGTGGTAATTAGGCTCCTCTTTCAACTGCAGACTCTCCTCGACCGTACTGTAGAGCACCATATTTTCATACATAAGTCTTATTGATTGTTCTAAAGCTGCTGAAGGAGTTTTTGCAACCCTGATGCTCATTAATTGATTTATTTCTTAGCTTGTTCGTCGAATTTGAGATTTAATCAGCAGCATGCCGTAGAATAAATATTTCTTTAGTCACTCGCTGCTGTAAGCGTGCTTCACAATGGGGAGGACAAAATTAATATTAATACATAGTACAGCAATCAGTTTTTATGAACGAGCTGCTATACCCGTGCTTGGCGATGGGATAATGTGCGAAAGAGAATAATGCGGTTCTTCAGACCTGACCTCGTGTATGAAATATTGCAGCTAAAAACTTAATGTTACCTACTAATTGGTTTAGTAAAATTCTCGTCTTTAAATTTAGATAAAGAGTTTAAATTACCTAGTTGTAAAAGAAAGTTCCAATATTTTTTTGTAAAAAATTGCAAAATTAGGCTGTGGGTGCATCTCGTTTTGCCTAATTTGACAACTAAAATCGAGATATTTCAGCTATTTTTTCAGACTTTTTTTTAACTTGGTGTGGTTTTGATAGGAAACACAAAATGCGAAATACTAGTATTCTTGACATTTTTTTCATGAAATCAAAAATTTTGATAATCAAAATTATAAATATTAAAATGGCTACAATTTTGAAATTTTAAATTGCACCAAAGTATTTTACCTAACAGGTATCTTATAAACAAACATACCAGGTTTCGTAAAGATTGGTTTTGAACAATCTAAATATAAAAAATATTAATTTAAAGAATAAGCAAGCTGATATCTTGTCAACGATGCGATTAAAAAATGTAATTCTTTATTTTGACACCTAAAGCCATTTCCTGGAGTTTGGCTATTTACTTACGGGACGCCCTGTATACAGCTTGCAACCATACGAACAAACTTTGTTACGTTATTCAGAATGTCAAAAGAAACATAAAAAGTAGTATAACATGTGTCCTATTTTATTCAGTTTTCGGTCTATCTGTCTGTATGTGTTTTATACAAAAACACTGATAACGCTCGTGGTTTGAGCTACAGTGCTGAAATCCTGTAAAAAAGTGTTAATCTTTTAGCCATTATCTTTGTGCAGAGCAGAAATGAATAAAACCTTTTAAACAGTTTGAAAATGGCTGGTATTTTAAATATTTTATGCCAAATTCCACGAAACCCGTTAATTACAAAAATTAAATAACTTCTTAATCAGCAGTACGTGTTATTAAATTTACGGAAAGTAAATAAAAGAAACGTCTTATAACACTTAAAACATATATTTACGCTTATACTGTTACTCACAAGACGGTAAATATACAAAAAAGATGGTAAAGGGTGATCGATTTCAAATGGTCACTCCAATCATCATAAGACCGAATAGGCGAATGACAAGAATCTTGAATGGCGTCCCTACTTATAATATAATACAACAGCTATAATACTATACTACTATAATACAGCATAATTACAAAATTTGCAAGTAGGGTAACGTAAGGTTTAGTACATTTTATACTGATATAAGCTTATTGAATAAAAATTAACTGAGGAATTAATATTTTCTAGCTGTACCTACAGTTTTCTCCATGTAAACAACGTGACTTTTTATATTCGCAAATCGATCTAGTTTTAGCAAATTTCCCATATTGGAATAAGATATTACGTCGTTGTCATTGTAAGACCTGCACCTGGCCGACCTGGGTCCGATTTACTGACTAAGGTCCCCAAAGGCCAAAAACACCATCCGTTCAGTGATAAATCGAACAAAAATCATCCGTGTTTGGGATAAACAAGTAAAACTAAATTTCTTCAAACAAGTTTGCACGCCAGCACGGACTATTTAAACGGGGGGTTTTGGGTGGGAGGAGTTATGGAACAAAAATTGGGTTTTCCCATTTTTTGACACTAATACATTTATTTTTGTAATTATTTATTTTGAAACCATTCTGTAGAAGAAATTGTAAATTGAGGCGTTGTTATGCGTAGTATTTATAGGAAACGGTAGTATATACAACGGTAGTAAAAAGGTAGTAAAAAGGTAGTATGCACCTTATAAGTTAGACTAGCTTTAAAGAAAGATATTTGTTCAAACTAAGAGGTCCGATTTAATTTGGTTCCTGAAACCAAAGGCGGGTGTGTAACTATTTTATACGAACAGATTTTTAAACGTACAATTTTTCTCTTCAGTGTCATCTCCGTTGTGAAGTACGGTTACAGCAGCTAATAGCGAATAAATATGACAATTTTAAAGTGATACTCTAGTGGAAATCCAATCCGGCAAATTCGCTTAGTCTGTAGGTGTTCTGCGGCGGGTGTATTTTATTATCCCTTTTATTGAACTGTTCATGGACATGTAATAACTAAAATTAAATATGGCTGGGAACTGGTACCACACACTTATTAAATTTAAGCGGTACCGGTACCTGCAGCTGTCATTTTCTTTCATGACTTTAAGTAAAATGAAATTGCTGTGTCACATTCTCAATACGCGATTGAACTAATTACCCCTCTATTGTACTGTATGACGAAATGGTTCGTGATGGAACATATTAAATACCTGGATCTACCGTCACCACACCTATTGCGGACACATGACATGCCAACCCAGATCAGCATTAAATGCTAGAAATTCCACTTTGTTTAAATTAGATAACTTTGGGTTTTCCAGATAGCAAGAGAACCACGGAGGTCCTAATTTTAAGGAATGGACAAGGAGGTGATAATAATGTGAAAAAATGTTATTTCTAGTATGGTTTCGCTGAATTGTAAGACAAATTAGGCTGTGGAGCGGGAGGTAGGTGGGTGCAGAAGGATCAATAGAACAGGGCTCAATGCGATAGTTCGATACGACTAACCGGTTGTAATCGATACAACGCTCGCATCCCTTGCACCGGTAGGGTTTCATTGTTCGTGATTTCCTTTATTTCCGTTGACACAAAACTTTGTAAAAATCGATGATTTTTTAAAATAATTACATGAAATTCCATATCATATTACGTCTTATTTATTTTTGTTTTTGCCTCTCAAAATTTTACAGGAGACAAATATTGCATTTGTAATTCGCCAAACCCTCTTTGAGAATTAATTTAAGTACAATTCCGCTACCGGTATTACAAATTTAAGATAAATTAAATATATAGATTAGCTATTCAAAATAATGTCAAATGGATAAATTTTAATACATATGTATTTTAAAGTGATCAATAGTTATCACATATTATGAACACTTCACTATATTTTTGCAGACGTGATCTTAACTCATCGTTTTCCCACTTAGTTATTATTTTAGTAGTCACTCGTAGGGCAATAAATCATGATTTTTTTAAGAAACTGGTTTCGTTATTATTAAATTATCAAAATTGTTCTGTTCGAGGAATTCCGTTTTTAATCAAATAAAGAAACAACTTATCTATTTAATAAAAGTGTGTATAGTATTCGTAAAATTTAGATTTGTTAAAACTATTTAATACAATTTACGCATGGAATTTCCAAACATACAATGACAAGTTTTAATTACGTTTCATCACCACGCGTTTTCGAAACACCGGATTACCGAATACTCGATTAACTCGGCGGTTATCGATAGTCGTGGAGCACCTTAGTTGTTCTCAGCCCTGCAGGAATGACGGACCTCCCTACCAGATAACATGGGTTCCTGGGCGTGTGCTTGGGCGTCCGCCCTCGTCCTCCACTCGGCCTTCTCAGCGTAAGTACCACCATAGCTCACGTTCCCGCCAAAACCACCCGGGGTGTACAAAAACCCGGGAACGGTGCAGACACGCTCTGCAGAATCAAGGTGTGGTTCAAGAACCCCTTGTGGTTTCGCTTATTATTTATTCCGTTGGAAGAATTCGATTAGACGAGTGTTGGTGAGTAGACCCCATGGGAGGATAAACCAAAATGACCTTGAACTGGGTCATTGACCTTGGGGGTGAAGATAAGCTTGTTATTGTGACCTTGGGGTCAAGATACACTTGTTATCATGACCTTGGGGTCAAGATAAGCTTGTTATCATGGTGTTGACTAATTAGGTTTGTCCTTGGAGGTTAAGAGTGTGATGTAGGATGAAAAGTATTTTGTAGTTCTGATTTTGACCACTAGGAGTCTTAGCCAACAGATTGTAGCACTGTAGGTACATTATTTTGCCACCAGATTGTAGTACTGTAGGTACAATCTTTGCCCACCAGAGTGCAGCGTTGAGGTGGTCTAATGAGGCTGAGATTTATATATTTTGTAGCTAGTATAAAGATGTACCAGTATACCAAATCTCAGATTGATACGATGAAAAATAAGCTTGATAAAAAATCCCAAAGTTTGGGGGATGAAGAGTGATTTTGGGGTAGCTGTTAGGTTTAGGTTGAAAGTTTCAATTGTTAAAAATATTAGACAGTGTTGGGATATTTTGTAGCAAATATAATAATTTTCCACCCTCTGGTAATTATGTAATAACTGTTTTAGTATAAGGGTTGATAAAAGAAAATCCAGGGGATGATTTTCAATATTGGTTTTTAAATAATGTTGAATAAACTAGTATTGATTTTTGTACCAAGTTTCAGTGCTCAAACTATTAAAATAGCTGAGCAATAAGGAAAAAACACTTTTAGGGTAGTTTCATCCCTGAGTGAAAATTTGACTATTTTCAGGTGATTTAATGTTAAGAACGCATGAATCTCAAGTTTCAGACATTTTCTATTGAAAATGATACTTTTCATGTTAGGGGTGGTTCAGAGGGTAGTTCACCCTTAAGAGGTACACTATGCCTAAGTGGTTGTGGTAACAAACCACCCTACCAAGTTACAACTTTAAACAATTTCAAATATCATAGATATGACAAATTATGTGACTTGGACTTAACTGCCAACTATACATGGAATGGGGAGTAGTGACTACAAGGAAAAGCGGTTCTTTGAAATGTCGAGGTGAGTGAGTTAATTTAACATGGATTATAAATCTGATTATGTAGTATCAGCCTTGTATTATAATTGACAGTTAGACATCCTGATTGTCGGCTCTTAAATGTGAAGGCCAGTGAGTTTGTTAATCTGGGGCCGGCTTAATGGTTCTAAATTATACAGTCCTTGCTGTCTGTCCTTGTTGTGTAACGACCCACCTGCCTGGCTGGCCTCGACTTACATGACGGTGTATATAAACGCTCTATTCACCTGAGCAAGATATTCTGGTCTCTGACTTGGTCTGCTTTAGTCCATCTTGGTGTTTTGTCTTTGTGTCTCAGGTTAGTAATACAAATAAATAGTTTTAAAGTTTTATTATAAAAAGTAAATCAATTATATTACGTTGATTGAACAAAAGTTAAATACTTATTCACTAATTTTCTTTCTTCATTATTGGCATATTATCTGAAACAAACAAGTTACATAACTCATTAGTTTTGTACACTTCTTCAAGTGAGGGTCATCAAGGTTAAGATAACAGTTTCCTGCTGATTGCTTTGTATGCTAATTAGAACCATCTAAGTTTATATTATTTCTGTTGAGCTATTGTCAGTTGGGATACGTTTGAATTTTTGAATTTAAATTGCTATCACAACAGTCATCCGCTGCTGAGGTCATAAGGTTACGAGTATAAATACCGCTAACAACTGTTAACAGTTATCTTTCTGCTGCCAGCTTTATAGGAAGTAACATATTGAATCTTAAAAATATTTTTAAACTTTTTTCCTAAAAATAATCTATTAGACTTTTTTTATTATATATTCTAAAATAAATTTTAGTTTTTTTTTAAAGTTAGTTTATTAATTTTTAGAAACTATACTATTTCTGGTCTTTAGTATGGATTCAGTTCCAAGCACTTCTGTGGAACCCTTTATTGGACCTGTTGATCCAGTCAATGTTGTTAACACCAACGAAACGTATGTCAGGCGCTTTAGAGTACATGGTCGCAGGACCACCTTTAAATTTAATTCCCCTCCTGAAGGAGTTTCCGAAATTGATTGGCTTAGAGGTGGCTTTTCTAGCCTTGTTGAAAAAATGAAAGTTGAGTCTGAGGAAGGGGATCAGCTCGGGTTTACTTTGCGAAGTCTAAATTTAAAAAATAAAGAGCCCGGATACGTTGCGTTCCGACCAGCTGCCCAAGTGGACGAGGACGTACTGTGGGAAATTTTTGGCGGAATCGTTCAGAGTAATGCGGAATCAATCACTTCGGCAGATACCTTCCAGGTCGAGTGCACGCGTGTCAATCTCCCTGTAGGCACCGGTAGGGTAAGGCCAGGCATGTTTAACACGTTCAATGAAGAATGTCACAAACGGAAGGGCATTGTTGCTATAAAAAATACCGACAACCTCTGCCTGCCTAGGGCTATCGTGGTGGCAAAGGCTAAGGTTAAAAACAATCCTGAATTTCAAGTTATTAGACAGGACAGAAGGGGTAGGCAATTGAATAGGGCAAGGAAGCTGATGCAGAAGGCTAGGGTGGAAATTCCAGAGGAGGGTGCAGGTCTCCCGGAATTGCAAAAGTTTCAGGATCATCTGAAAAAATATAAGATCACTGTGTATCACTATGACAGGAGGGGCAGAGACGTGTACTTTGAAGGAAACAACCCTGATGCCTCACTAAAAATTAATTTGCTCTTCCATAATGGTCACTACAATGTTATAACTTCATTGACAGCTGCTTTTGCCTGCACCCACTTCTGTGAAGGATGCCATGTCCCGTATAGCAACAAGGGAAACCACAGATGTAACAATATCTGCTCAGCCTGTCAAACCGTCTCTCCACCTTGCATTGAAGAGATGGGTGGTATTGTGTGTCCTGAATGTAACTTAAAATACAAAAATCAGATTTGTTTCCTGGCCCACAAGAATGAGCGCTGTAAATCGGTGAGAAAATGTAAGGACTGTGACAAAATCATCAATCTTAACAACAGAAAGTCAGATCATGTTTGTGGAGAAGTGTTCTGTGTGATTTGTAGGGAATTCTTGCCACCCGACCACCAATGCTACATGAAAGTGGACAAAAGAAAGCCCACAGACAAGATTAAAGACTCTGTGTACATTTTCTTTGACTTGGAGACGCGTCAAGACGAACCCCTGGCAACCGACCCTGACTCCAACTTGCATATAGTCAATCTCTGCATTTCTCAACAGTACTGTTGGAAATGTATAGAGGGAGAGGGTTGTGATACGTGCAACGATAGGACAAAAATATTCAGAGAGGACCCTGTTGGTAGATTTGTGGACTACGTTATGGAGAGCAGAAAGCAATTCAAGAATGTGTGTGCAATTGCCCATAACGGTCAGGGGTTCGATTTCCAGTTTATCCTGAAGCACATTATTGAACACACTAAATTCACACCTGAACTGATCATGAGAGGCACAAAGGTGATATTGTTGGAAGTGGACAGTGTACGGTTTATTGATTCCCTAAACTACTTCCCCATGGCACTGTCTGCTCTTCCAAAAGCGTTCGATCTGCCCCCGGAGAAAAAGAAAGGCTACTTTCCTCATCTGTTTAACACGATGGCGAATCAAAACTTTGTCGGTCCCATCCCCAGTAAAAAATTCTACTGTCCTGACACTATGTTTGAAAAAACATACAAGGACTTTGAAAATTGGCACAACGAACAGATGAGTCAAAATTATGTTTTTGATTTTTCCAAAGAAATAGTAGAGTATTGCCTTTCTGATGTTGACATACTGGCCCAAGCGTGTATTAAATTTAGAAAGCTCTTCTTACTTGAATGTAATGTTGAACCATTCCTAGAGGCTGTTACGATCGCGAGCGCCTGTAATCTGGCGTTCAGACGTAACTTTTTGAAACCCAACACTATCGGCTTGATTCCTAAAAACGGATATCGCATGGTTGAAAACCAGTCGGCCATTGCTTTGCAATGGATGACCTGGGAAGAAGGCCAGCGAGATGTGACAATTAACCACGCTGGGCGGGGGAGAGAGAGTAGAATTGCGGGAATGAAAGTTGACGGGTTTGATGGGGAACGTGTTTATGAATTCCAAGGCTGTTACTACCATGGATGCCCTAAATGCTACCCCTACAAACGAGAGGAGCCTCTGAAAGAGGATCCTTCTGACAGCCTACATCTCCGGTATGAAAGAACTAAAACAAAAATTCAAAAACTGTCTGAAACCGTGTATGAGATTGTTGAGATGTGGGAGTGCGAGTTTAAAAAAATCAAACGCGATAATAACTTGTCTTATCTAAACTCTTTGCCTATCTTGAATTCTCTCCCCCTTGAACCTCGCAACGCTTTCTTCGGGGGTAGGACAGGAAACGCAAAGACCTATCACAAGTGTGAAGAAGGTGAATCCATCCAATATGTCGATGTGTGTTCCCTATACCCTTATGTTTGTAAGAGAGGGCACTATCCACTAGGACATCCCACTGTACATGTAGGGGACAGAGCCTGCCGAGAGCTTGGACTGGAAGTAAATGGTATTCTAAAATGTAAAGTCCTGCCACCACTGAAACTGTATCACCCTGTACTACCTGCTAGGATGAGTGACAAACTGATGTTTGTTTTGTGTAGAAAGTGTGGTGAGCAGTTGAACCAAGAAGATTGTCACCATAGTAGTGAAGAAAGAGCTCTGACCGGTACGTGGACCATGGATGAGATAAGGAAAGCCGTG